TGGGGAGACTCCCATATAAAAAGGAGGGGGTGCTTGTCATACCTTTTAGAGGTTAAAAAATGGTTAAATTAGTACCTCTTTAGTCTTAGGCTGTTCAGCCTCAAAAGGTACACAGCAGGAGCTTTTGTGGTGCCTTTTAGGGTATTAAGCTGGAAAAATTTTTCACAAGATAATTAATTTATTTGTCGTTTCAGAATTAGTACCTCTTAGGGGTGAAAAAATTTCAAGCCATGCCCACAAAACACGATTTTGGTAGCTCTTAAGGGGTTCCGTTTAAAATTTCAGATGAGCACCCAAAATCTCAGCACAGTGTCCCCAGCCATCCTGGAACATTGCCTACTTGACCTGGGTGCCTATGATTGCAATAGCCATTAAGCTTCCACATCTCCCACACTGAAAAACTACAGCTGTTTCAGTACTTGATCTGACAATTAACCTGGATGCCCCCTTAATTTTAAATTAGGAACATGATGAATTGGTTCAAGGTCTGCTGTTGCTACGTGATTACTACAAGGCAGAGTACAAGAAAGCATTGCACGATAAAGTGAATCATCAGAGAAGAAACCTGCAACAACGGCAGACCAAACTAGAAGAAGAAACAAGGGTGTTAGCACAGCATGAAGTATGTACACCAAATAGAACTAATAGATTCTATTATGGCATGAATATTTACAAAGCCTGATCTTCAAGTATGAGAGAAATTTTGGAAACATTTGGCAGTTTAGATGAACATGTACAGTAATATGTACACTCAGAACGTTTTTCCGGTGCCAAGTGCATTCAAATTCTCCAAGCTTTATGATCTAATAATAGATCATAAAAGCCACCTAACCAATCAAACATTGCTTGTACATGTATACATACATGAATAAAACAAGTAACACAAAGTGTTGGTCATTAAATGTTTCCTCTGATTACAAATGGTTATCAAGGGATTTTGCATGAATGTGCTTCATTGCTATATAATATTTATATGTTAATTCACTTTTCAAATTCTTCAGGCTAAATTATGTTAGGAAGCTACATGTATCCACATATTGGAATTCTATTTACAGCAAGAGATTAAAC